AACACACTTTCAGATTTTCTCAACAATAAGAAAATTACACAAACCTTACAATTAATGAAAATTAAACAATTTGCTTCTGAATGACTTTTGAGTAAATAAAGAAATTGAGGAAGAAATCAAGAAGATCTTTGAAATTAATTAGAAAAAAATACAATTTACAAAAATCTCTGGTACACAGCTAAGGCAGTGGCAAAAAGAGAAGTTTATTGCAATAAATTCTCTTCTCATTAGGTATGTTTGCCATACACAAAGCCTTAAGCTTTCCATTTCACTCTGGTGCCTTCTTTGAGCTGAGAATTTAAAATATATACTGATTAATCAGAAGCAAAGGAATCTCGTTTGTGCAACTTTGTGCTTTTTTAATAAGGGATTTGCTCTTTAATGTTACAGTGCTATTTTTTTTTGCACTTAATTATCCTAAAGTATTTGTCCAGGAGAAACTTCTAAAAATATAGAATGCCCTGGAAAGATCATGTGGAAGGGCTTGGTTCTCTGGGGCATGATTCCTCAGTGAATTAATTTGGAACAAGCAACCTTGGGGACAAGCCGAACAGCCCAGTGAAATATTTTGCTGTTCATTGTTGATTAAGTCATAGCTTCTCTTACCAGGGAGAAGATTTCTTGTCAGCTGTTAATGTTACTATCAAAATAGGAAATAAAAGCCAATACCAGATATAGGTGATGTGGGGATGAAGGCAGCAAACCACCTTGCCATGTATGTACCTATGCAACAATCCTGCATGATTTGCACACTTAGCACAGAACCTAAAGTACAATCAAAAAAAAACTTTAAAAAAAGCATTACCTTACTAGACACGAACAATACTAAAGCAGTAATATAAACATATGGGTCCTTTTAAAATATTCAAAACAAAGCCCAGTTTTTAGACTATTTTGTACACTATTGACTAAGAATGTTATAAAAAGTTCATTCAACGAATGACATCAGTAAACATAACAATGGGGTTTTAAATTTCTTTAATTTTAATATATATATATTCTCAATGACAACTTTCCAATTTGGTGATTTCTCAGTCGTATCAACTGTTTATTCCTGAAACCAACTCCTGATAACCCCATAATCCAAATGAAAATGTTTATGAAAGTTGAAGAAGATAACCACGCTTTGTTCAGGCAATACATCACTGTGTGACAAAGCATTTGCAGCTTCAGTGACCATGTGCCTTCTTTTCTTTGCAGTCACGCCTGTATTTATAGGGTTTCAATTCTGACTTATCTTCATCAAACTAGGCAGTAATTTTCTAGGAACAAAGAAAAACACTGCAGAACCCTGGATTTGGAGCAAGTGACCAAGGAGGACATAGAAAACCCAGGTAACAAATTTAAAAAGTTTTTCACTGCTGTTATGATAGAGGCAAAATAGACTTTATTTGAAAGAGTTATGTATGCTTCTTAAAAAGTAGATTTTATTATTTAATCTCAAGTATCTTATGCCAGAACCTTCAAGAATAAAACAGCATACACATTTTTTTTTTCATTTTATAGAATATTATTAGTATAAGTACAATGGTAATAATTTTCTCCAAATTTTTAATTAGAATTGTTTAATTATATATTGAAATAAAATGCATGGCACAACATAACAACATGACTATATTTAGTATTTACAGTAACTTCATTTAGATTATATAATTTAGAGAATACAATTATTTATCTTATATCTTAATACATTGATAATAACAGTAAGGATTACTATATTTCTTTTTTTTTTTTACCTTGTATAAAGTATTTTTAAATGTCCTGGTTCTGTGCTGATGTTTTATTTGTGTTGATTTTTTTATTATGATAAAATATACATAACACATTGTTATGCAATTATCATCACTGCCCATCTCCAAACCTTTTCATCGTTCTAAACTGAAATTCCATATTCATCAAACAATAATTTTTCCTCGCCCCCTCCTCTTCGTCCCTGGTAACCACTGTTGTACTTTCTATGTCTATGAATATGACTATTCTAGGTGCCTTATAAGAGTGAGATTACACCATATTTGTCATTTTGTGTTTAGCTTAGCATGTCTTCAAGGTTCACCCATGTTGTAGCATTGTATCACAACTTCATTGCTTTTTAAGGTTGAATAATATCCCTTTGTCTGTATATAATACAATTTGTTCATTCATTAATTGAGCATTTAAGTTGTTTCCATCTTTTGGCTATTGTGAATAATTCTGTCATGAACATCAGTATACAAATATTTGTTTCAGTCTGTGATTTCTGTTCTTTCGTGCATAGCCCTCAAATAACATTCACATTACCATGTAAGCATTCACTACCTGTCTTTCTCCATAGCTCATTCCCCTCTTTGATATTTATTATTAAAACTAATTTAATGAGATGCCTCTTTGTAGATTAGGGGATCAACTGGGTCCATAGCAGGTGTGTCCAGTTTTACTCACTACATTTTTAAAAACCTAAAAATAAGGACATATTTATGTAGTTAACTCACAGTCAGGAATTGATGTTGGCATTTTTCCTAGGTTTCTGTAGATCTTGTACCTAATGATATTTATAACTTCTGTTTCCGTGGACACTAAATTACCCTTTCTAACATGGTATATGTGTAGGTCCATAAATTTACCCAGTAACTAGACATTTTAGAACACGAGTTTTCATATTTTGTAAAGATTGCCATTGTGGGATACCTATCATAGATTCACATTTTTTGAGTATTTCTTTTTTCTTTTTATTATTATTTTTTTTTATTGCATTTTAGGTTTTGGGGAACATGTGAAGAACATGCAAGATTGTTGCATAGGTACACACATGGCAGTGTGATTTGCTGCCTTCCTCCCCATCACCTATATCTGGCATTTCTCCCCATGCTATCTCTCCCCAACTCCCCACTCCCCTCTGTCCCTCCCCTATTTCCCCCCAACAGACCCCAGATTTACTCAGTCTCATTTGAATATGTTAAGAAATTTGAAGAATCTTACTAATGTTTGAATCAAATATATATATTTTTCATGAAATATAATATTGATAAAATACAGAATTTGGAATCAATCTTTCAAAGTGATAATTTTCAATAGTTTAGAATAATAGTAATGCCTCTAAGAACATTTTAATAAGTGAAATATTTATTGAGTAATTGAAATACTGTAAACAAATATGTGTTATAAGTACAAAAAGGTCAACAAGAGAGACTGTCCTACTGGAAGTTATCTCTTGAAAGCTCAGACAGCTCCTATGAATTGTGAATACTCATTTTCTGTTATAAATGCAGAATAGTTTCATAATTGCCAGTACAGATATTTAATCATATATATATGCAACAAAATATCAGAAGTTCCGAACATGGAACTTCAAGGAAGCTGACCTTACCTACTGATCTAAAGTTTAAAATCGGATGTTTTCATTTTTCTTTGACCCAAATGTGTAAAGATTCCTCGAAGCAAGTGCTGCTACTGATGCTGAGTTACCTTCCAGGCCACCTCCTGATTGATAGCTCTGGGAATCTGATATCCTTCTGTTCTCAACTCATTCAGTTCCCTCAACCAAAATGCTTACCAATATTTCATTCAGCTTATGGCCTTTACTTATTTCCATCTGCCTTTGCTAAGTTATCTCTTATTTTGTTTATGTCTATGCTTTTACTCTCCCTCTGACACTTGAGTATGTCTTGGCTTGTCTTGACACATAAAAGATAGAATAATCTCCTTACCTTCACAAATGACAATTACTAATATAGACCACGTTTAAAATAATCCTGCTAATACAAACTTGCACACATTACACATAAAATTGGGCCTGGATCACATCTGAAGACCCAACAGATGATTTATTTTACTCAAGTGAGAATGAATATCTTGTATTTGAAATAAATTTATATAACCAAGAACTAATATGAAAAAACTCTCATGTATTGATTAATAATCAAATAACCTTTAGGACATACTAAGCCTGATTAACATAAAATGGTCTACCAGAAAAAATGTCATCATGTTGTTTAGGATAAATGTGTCAATGATAAGAATTCAGAAACTCGTTTATCTCGAAAGACCATTACATTTCAAATAAGGAATTATAAGGTGGGACATGATTTTTTCCAAGATAACTAAACAAAAAATCAATTATATTTTCAGATTTCTCGTATATAATTATTTCTACTACACCAAGATTTTGCTGGAGTCTTTATTTTTGGCATTCCAAATTCATCCATAATTAGCCATGATCAGTCTTAAACAAACGTAAAAAGTGGGGAAAATGTCTATGCAGTGCCCCTGCACTTTGATTTTTATTACCTATTTTTTTTCCCTCTAATGACCTAGGTTACAAAAGATGAAAATTCCGTGTGTGTGTGTGTGTGTGTGTGTGTGTGTGTGTGTGTGTGTTTGTGTGGTGTGTTTTCAAATAAAAAATTCCTTTCATTGGACCTTTATAGCTGGGAAGATTTTAATGCATTTATTTCCACCCACTTGCTCTCTGAACTTTGAAATTCATTTTAATTAAATAAAATTTAATAAACATTTAGTAAGCACTCACAATGTGTCCAGTTCTTTGAGTGAGTTATTCCTGGATCCTAGGAGCTCACAGTAGAGTGTTTCAGAATGGTAAATATCTGAACATTAGCCTGTAATTTTATGCTCCATATACTGGATACTATTTTACATAAACATATAAAAGTCAAGTCAACACATATGAGACTGTTTTGTTGATAGATCATGGAAGAACAAAATCTGTTCAAGGAAAAAAAAAGAGAAATACTATGTACATGTCAAAAATGCAGTCTTTTAAAGAGACATTCTCTAGAAAGCAGCTCTATTTTGATGTGTAATAGATTATCTTACGTATGTATCCACTCACACATAACTTCCAGTTAGAACCCTGAAGCCTCGTCATTGTGGTTAAAGCAATACATTTGTAAAAATAAAAAGGATAATTGTGGGAGGAGATTCTAGACACTCCTTTTCCAATGAGCTGCTTTATGTGAGGCCCTGGTTGGGGGAAACGTGGTTGAGGAAGGCATCACATTTTTGACATGGGGCTTGTGACAAATAATCTCAAATGTATCATTGATCCTTTTGTTTGTAGGCCCTGACACCTGAGTCCAATACTTTCAGAACACATGGAAAATAGGAACAATGTGACTGAATTTATCCTCTTGGGGCTCACACAGAATCCTGAGGGGCAAAAAGTTTTATTTGTCACATTCTTGCTCATCTACATTGTGACAATAATGGGCAACCTGCTTATCATAGTGACCATCATGACCAGCCAGTCCCTGGGTTCTCCCATGTACTTTTTTCTGGCTTCTTTATCATTTATTGATACTGTCTATTCTACTGCCATTGCTCCAAAAATGATTGTTGACTTGCTCTCTGAGAAAAAGACCATTTCCTTTCAGGGTTGTATGACTCAACTTTTTATGGATCATTTATTTGCTGGTGCTGAAGTCATTCTCCTGGTGGTGATGGCCTATGACCGATATGTGGCCATCTGTAAGCCTCTTCATTATTTGATCATCATGAATCGTCGAGTCTGTGTTCTCATGCTGTTGGTTGCCTGGATTGGAGGTTTTCTTCACTCATTGATTCAATTTCTCTTTATTTATCAGCTCCCTTTCTGTGGCCCCAATGTCATTGACAACTTCCTGTGTGATTTGTATCCCTTACTGAAACTTGCTTGCACCAATACCTATGTCATTGGACTTTCTATGATAGCAAATGGAGGAGCAATTTGTACTGTCACCTTCTTCACGCTCCTCCTTTCCTATGGGGCTATATTACACTCTCTTAAGACTCAGAGTTTGGAAGGGAAACACAAAGCTTTCTACACCTGTGCATCCCACATCACTGTGGTCATTTTGTTCTTTGTCCCCTGTATCTTCCTGTTTGCAAGGCCCAATTCCACCTTTCCCATTGATAAATCCATGACTGTGGTTTTAACTTTTATAACTCCAATGTTGAACCCACTAATCTATACCCTGAGGAATGCAGAAATGAAAAGTGCTATGAAGAAACTTTGGAGTAAAAAAGGAAACTTAGCTGGAAGAGGGCTGTATCCCTTATGAGAATGTGACATTCATTCTTTCACAGAAGCAAGGACTAATTTCACTATCCTACATAATTACATTTTGGTTATCATTCATTAGTTATTTAGCTTATTTATTCTGAAGCACTCATATAAAATAATATTTAAATGCAATGTTACACCCATTACAGACCAAGAGAATTGCATAGGTTTCACAGTGTATACTGTTTTTGTAATCATATTGTGTTAAGATTCTTTGGTAGATAACCATATTTAGTTTTATTTCAAGCTCTTTTTTATTTTAAAAATAACTTATTTATTTTTCTTTTTTATTTATTTTAAATTGACAATAATTGGGTATATTTACAAAGTACAATGTGATGGTTTGATATATGTATACATTACGGAAAAATTTAATCAGTCTAATGAATATATCACTTCTCCAATATCTTTTTTTTTTGTGGTGACAACATCAAAAATCTATTCTTGTTTGTGGGCTATGATACCTTCCTGGCACATATAAATGTGACCTATGAAAATTTGTTCCCTTTAGTCCAAGAGAATAATATTTTAAACTTGAAAATTCAGATTGTTAACAGAATGTTAATCTAACAGTAAAAATAAATGTTTTGGTCAAATTAATGAATTGAAAGTTTCATAGGTATATTAATAGCTGAAGCCAAACCTATGAGAAATAAACTTTGTTAATTTTGTACTGTGACAGGGTTAAGATGTCCAGATAGCACATAGTTGATTTTGTATATTTTGACCAACTTTTAAACAGAAAAATTGTTCAATCCCATACTGTATATCTAGGTCAATTGACCACCTCCAATAGTCAAAATATGTGTTTAAGTTACTTATGTAACAGTGGAGCCCACAGAATCTATCTACATTAAACTCTCAGAGTGTCCTTAAAAAATGCAATGAATGTTAAACATTTTGGGAATGGATTGTTTTGTTTTACACAATAAATGGCTTTCAGAATCTCTGTGGACTATATCTTCTCATTGACTGAAGTAATAAATCACAGATGTCTTCTCTGTTTACAGTTACTCTATGATAGGTTTAGAGTACTAGTAATACTGTATTACAAAGATAATTTTTAAAAGCTCTGTCATTACATATTGCCTTGTTGAAAAATCAACCTATAGCATCTATATTAAGGTAAAAAGTTGGTATTTTTTTCATTTTCCTTTTCTCAGTGTGTAATAGATTTACTTAATGCACTTAGCAATATTAATGCGTCCAGTTATTCAACACATATTGATTAAAAAGTAAGTCATGGAATTGTATTTATTCTTTAGTGAAGGAAGTAAAGGAGTTTTTTTTAAAAGATTTTTTTTTTTTTTTAGTAACAAAGGAATCAGAACTTCGTAATCATTGGAACTGGAGAATCTGGCATCTGGATACTGGAGGGAGCACATTTGGGATGAAGGATTCACCATCCAAGCTGTCATGCAGAGATAAGGATGCTAAGCTCAAAAAGGAACTCCTCTTGTCCTCTGCACATGCTTCTCAAAGTCCTTTCCTGCCTTGAGTTTTATATAAAGGTAATTTTCTCTAAAAATTTAAAGTTTTGTTCTTCACACTAACTTGTCTGGTCTCATTAATCCACATAAGGTTTGAATTTCCAGGTATGGTATGAGGTGGAAACTCACTTTGCTTTCTTATCATGGAAATAATTTTCCCATCACATTATTGAATAATCATTTAGTTGTCTACTAACTTGAAATACCAGAACTTTTATATATAAAATACAGATATAAAAGTTGTTCTATTTCCTAGTTTTCTAGTTTGTTCAATTAGTCTAATTGTCAATTCAAGAGCCAATACTACAGTGTCTAAACTATTGAGTGTTTCAGATACTATTACTATAAAATGAATCACCCAATATTAAGTGGTTATAACACTAACTATCGTTCAATTATTTCAGATGGTTCTGTGGGTCAGGAACTTGTTAGCAGCAGCTCAGCTGGATACTTTTAGCTCAGGGTGTCTCATGAGGTTGCAGTCAGATATTGGTTGGTGCTGAAGTCATATAAAACAGTTTCTTCAGTCACATGTCTGGTATGTAGGCCTGAAACTCTTGAACAGTGAGGGCTAAAATAGTTGGTACTTCTTGGGCATCTTCTCCTTTTTGTATGTAATTTTCCCATATGACCTCTCAAACATGCTGAATTCAGGGTAATGGGAACATTTTACATGGTAGTTCAGAGCTCTAAAAAGCGGGTGTCTCAAGAGAGTGAACCAGCCAGAAGCTGCGGTGTTTCCTTGACCTAAACTTAGAAGTCACTTAGAATGAGGCCGGGCGCGGTGGCTCAAGCCTGTAATCCCAGCACTTTGGGAGGCCGAGGCAGGTGGATCATGAGGTCAATAGATCGAGACCATCCTGGTCAACATGGTGAAACCCGTCTCTACTAAAAATACAAAAAATTAGCTGGGCATGGTGGTGCGTGCCTATAATCCCAGCGACTCAGGAGGCTGAGGCAGGAGAATTGCCTGAACCCAGGAGGCGGAGGTTGCGGTGAGCCGAGATCGCGCCATTGCACTCCAGCCTGGGTAACAAGAGCGAAACTCCGTCTCAAAAAAAAAAAAAAAAAAAAAAAAAAGAATGATTCTGCCATATTTCATTAATCAAGATACTCATAAAGTCCCTCCTAAATGAAAACAGAGAGGACAGACTCCACCTCTTGGTTGGGAAATGGCAATGCCTGGAAGATCCATATGCAACAGGACATACTGTTGTAGAAACACAATCTGTTACAGTCTGCCCCTGCTAGAAAACACACATCCTCCCATAAGCATTGTACATTCAACTTCCTTTTCTCTGGGCCCCCTTCCCAAGTCTCATTCACATACAGCATGAGGCTCAGGCTGAAGGTCAGGACCTCATCATCTAAACCATGTCCAACTGTGGTTTTAGAGGCTCCTGTGGTGTGGTTCCTCCTGCGGTGCAGTTCCGTGAGTACTATTTCTTTTGACTGAAATTTTCAATTGGAAGACCTTTGAACTAAAGACAGAGGTTATCTGCCCCTTCTCTTCTCATGCCACCAATGTACACTGGTGTGACAGATATGACATAACTTGTGTAGATACTTATGTTCAGGAAGGAGAGGAAAAAAAGTAATACAGTGGCTGTTCCACAGCAGTTCTGAAATTCATCTAGTTACATGTCTTTTCAGTTCTTTGATTATTGTCCAGCCTACTTATGGCAGTGATTTTTACATGCTCTTGTTTCTTCTCTTGGCTTTGAATTCTGTCTTCAAGCTATCTATTCTTTTCCATAATAAACCTGTATTCCATAAAAACCTGTGTTTGTAGATTAGTAGTTTTCTCAGCCTGCTTCTTATCTATAGAAGTTTGGTGGGCCAAAGTCCTTTGATCACTTCATTTTAAACTATCCCTTTTTGCCCAAACTGATATAATTCCTAATTTTTCTATAAATATTATAGGGGTCGATTTCATCAGACAAAAGCTACATACATAATTATCATTGAGATAGGTCTTTCTTTTCTGTGGGCTCCCTGTAAAGATGCTGTGAAACAGAACTTTTAAGATTCTTACAAGCCTTATTAATTAAAGTGAGAATCTGTCAGCATGTCCCTAGTATTTTTTTTTTTTTTCTGAGAAACAGGGTCTCACTTTGTCCCCCAGCCTGGAATGCAGTGGTATAGTCATGGCTTACTGTCCATTGACACTACAAAGAAACTGCATCAACTAATGGGCAAAATGACCAGCTAGAATAAAAATGGCAGGGTTAAATTCACACATAACAATATTAACCTTAAAGGTAAATGGGCTAAATGCCCCAATCAAAAGACATAGACTGGCAAATAGGATAAACAGTCAAGACCCATCGGTATGTTGAAGTCAGAAGACCCATCTCACATGCAAAGACAAACAGAAGCTCAAAACAAAGGGATGGAGGAAGATTTACCAAGCAAATGGAGAGAGAGAGAGAAAAAAAGCAGGGATTGCAATCCTAGTCTCTGATAAAACAGACTTTAAACCAACAAAGAAAAAAAGAGACAAACAAGGGCATTACATGATGATAAAGGGATCAATGCAAGTATTTTTGTTGTTTAAATACAAGTCCTGATTCTTTAATATTTAGTAATTCCTTCTTTAGCATTTCTCTTGAATTCTACTAGATGCAGTGAGAATAAGCTAGAAACACTTTCAAACTCCTGTGTAGAACCTGCGTAGGTCATCAGGTTCGTTAGGTATATTTCCTATTTTTTGTGTTTCCACAGGCAGCAACACTGCAAAACTTTTCACCACCACATCTGTAGGATGCTCTTTCCTCTGGCCTCCAATAGCCTTTTTCTCTCTTTTTTTTTCCCCTTTCTTTCTTTCTTTCTTTCTTTCTTTCTTTTTTGTTTAGAAGCTCATTTTTATTCTATGATTTAAAAATGAAATAATCTTGGATAGTCACTTACAACTCCGACTTTCATCACCCGATGAAACCCACCAGTTTTCTGCAGCCTCAGATCTCCATAAGGGTCTTCTTAAATTGGCTCCCCTCATTTCACCACCAGCTTTTGTGGGCCAAGGTCCTAAGATTCGGCTCTTGAGGCCAGGTTCCCACACTGATATGACCCCCGTTTACCACATGGGGATCAATCAGGCTAGGTGCTACGCAGATGACGAAGACAGTCCAGGCCTCCTGGGGCTTAGAGCTTGGGGGTGAGAGTAGGGGTGGCAAACGTTAACAAAATCACTCATGCAGTGTGATCAGGATGGAATCCTCTTTACTGAGAGCCATTGATACCACAAAGGTTGGTGGCCTGATTCTCATCTGCACCCATTGGTGGGACAGCTGGGGTTGCAGGATTGAGGAACCCTGCTAGCTGCTCTGCATCCCAAGCCTCTGAGGCTGAGGGAGTCATGTGTGAGGTGTTAAGTCCAAGCCAGCCCACCCTAAGTAGCAGGAATCTGGAACCTGAAGGAAGCTGGTGCAGTGTCCATCAAATCAGTTCCCACAAAGCCATTCCCTGTGCACTCTTCAGTTTCTATGAGGCCTTGTCCGAGGTATTT